TAGTATCCATTATTATTGTTAACTTTACTACATCATTATTGTATGCATCATTTTTGTAAACTTTACTAAAAACTAAAATGTTCTGTAGGAATTTAATAGAGTTCCAATGGAAAAAAAAAAGGAATAAGCTTTAATCAACAGATTAGAAGAGAGGATCATAAGAGCATAGATTTAGATTTAGAAGAGAGCTAAGAGGTCTCTGAGTCCAACCCTCTCATGTTACAGAGGAAGAAACAAGTTTGTTTTGACAACCCAGTCATTTGGTCAAACAGCTTCCAAGGTTTTATTACCCTGTTCTAATCAATGCCTGGGTCAGATAGAAAAATCTTACTCCAAAAAGACAAAGAAATTAAATCCCAGCAAGCAGAATAGCAATGATAACTCAATTGAGCTATTGCTTTATCTTGCCACAATGGTATCTGGAGGGAAAGATTAATTACAGAAGGAAAGTATGATTAGGGTACGGCTTGGTGACATTCATGAAACTTTTCTGGGGAGCAAGGCAAAAAAATCAGCAATAAATGAAAGGGGTTGGCTTTATCAGTGCCACAATAACAAATCATTTTAAAATGGCGTCTGAGCATGGTGGTAGCTTATTAACTCAACAACAATTTTACACTCCAGTTTAGTTGATAGATTCCTCAAAGACGCACATATTTATTTCTTGAATTTCATCCCCCCCCCTTCCCGCCCCTCCTTCACACCCCCCCCAAATAGCCAGTCTCTGTCTAGAATAAAGCCACCTAGAAAAGCATGGCTTTATGGAACTTCCCCAGAATTGATATTCAGGAGGATTTCCATTTATTTTGCATGAAAATTGGCATGATGGGGTGTCACAACTCCACTCCCCCAAGGGGCTGATTCTTTATAAGCTATATCACTGGGATCTTATTTATGAGCCCATCTCTAGAAGGAAATCAGGGTTCTCAGACATTTAGGGCAAGGCTGGTGATGTGATCTAAACGTGATCTATGCCCTTGCTCACCCATAAATACAGATTTGTTTTTAAAAACCACTGCACAGATAAGTAGGGATATATATGACTTAATCTGATTTTAAACAGGGAAAACACATGACAAAGCAGACAAGAAGACTGAAATCAATTTTAGGAGGGATCAGGGAGCTGTTTCTTCATCTTTCTCTGCTGCCTGTAGACCAGACTCACACACTCCAGAGTCCTCCCTGCTACATCCGTATAACACCCGCTAAGAGATTGGATTCTATAATTTCCACAAGGTAATATCAGAGTAAAATAGAGATATGTACCTATTGTTTGCAGCAATAGTTATGATCTGCACAGCTTCAAGAAGTCAGTAAGGCTTCCTAGCCTGAATCAAAGGGAGGCAGACTTTTCTGAAATAACCTGTGTCAGGCAGGAGAAAGCAACATCCAGGTAGAAATAATTACCGGCCACCCCCACTCCCAATGTTATTACCACTTGAAAGCTGGCTAGAATGAGTCCTAACAACATTCTGTTTAGAAAGAGATATTACAGAATGGCCATTAAAATGTTTTACTCCACTCCTATTACCCCTTAAAGTGCGGACGCCATTATAGGCCCTTTCCCTGGATTCTTCAGTGTCTGAATTTAATCATTTCAGGGAACTGATTTATAACTAGGCAGAGCCCATTATAATCTTGGGGAATAACACGAGCAAATACCGATGTGAAATTTGCATTCTATTTTATACACGTATGGCTATAGCCACATATATCTTCCTATGCCTAGTGTTAAATATTTCTTAGTGCACTGATGACCCATGTACAGTATTGCCTTCTTGAAAACCTGAGCTGTTCTTAACCACTCTAACCCAGCCACAAGCTAAACAACACCCCACTTCCATTAAAATCTCCCCCCCTCCCCAAGACCCTATCTTCTAAATTCAATCTCTTTGGAAATTGATTTCAGTGACAATTATTACCTGTCTAACCTGTCCTGAAACTTTTTTTTTTTACTCCTACGGTAGTAAATCTTTATTTAAAGCTTTCAACACAGGAGGGCTGACTTCAATATGTTCTGTCAAAATAGTAAGCACTCAGAGAGGTGTTGATTCTTCTCAATATTGGCAACAAGATGAATGAAAACCAGATTAGACAGATGAAAATAACTTTTACTCATCTCAGAGACTCAGTATTGCTTTAAGTAAATAAAGATGATTATTTTTAAGCAGGGGAGAAAACAGTACTACCAGCAAGAAACCATACTTTATTATTCTTGCTGAAAAGTCTATGTTTTCAAATTGACTTACTTCTGAAAAAAATCATTGTTTCACTTTCTCCATTTTTATTTAAAAAAGCCAATTTTTTAAAAGTGTTCTGAAAAGACTTTCATGTTGATATTTATACAAGGATGAAATTTCAATTAAAAATATTGGGCTGCTGGTTTCACAATGCTACCCCCAATGAGGGGTGAGGGAATCAGCTTGATATTAGGAATTTTCCCCCCTTATTAGAAAGCTATTTTTCCCTGGGGGCCATCTACGGCAATCAATTTACAATAAAAATCATTAGTGCTTTGCTCAATAAATAGCACCCCCTCCCTCCACAACCATCTCTGTGGCTGAAGTATGTGTATGCAGGTCATAAGCAAAAAATGACTTCTTGGATATCTATCCTATCATCATTATCTTATTAGCCAAGTATGTACACATGACAACAGAAATTAACAATTTCTAATGGAACAGGGAAAAATGTAATCTTCCTCATCTGCTGAATGCCGCTCTGTACTCCATGGCCTCTTAATCACATGGGTTCCTTTCTAACAAGTCTCCACAAGACTGGGATGTCCAAGCACCATTAGGTATCACACAAGCAGAAAAGTCTTCCCCGGCTCTAAGATGAGATAGAGCTCCCATTCAAAGAACCTGCCTCAAATGGAAACAAGTGGAATGGTTGTCTTTCATCCAGCCACCACACATTTGCCTGCATCTGTTTTAAGCAGCTGGGGATAATAATGTGGCAGGCAAAACTCAACGAAGAAAACTCCTGATTTTTTTCGTTGGTTGGTTGCTGTTTTTGTTTCATCTCTCTTACCCAGAGCACATGCAGGTTCAGGAAGCAACCACCATCCATTTAGCTCTAAAGGGAGACCAAGGTAAAGAGGAGGTTTTCATTGTCAATGTACAAACTCATCCCAGCGGGGCATCAGCTAGACAGTAAGCAAATGCAGGAGAAAGGGACCCTCAATGTCCTCTGCTTTACTCCAAGTGACAGTGGACCCGCTACAAGAAAAAGATAGCTGTTTGTGGAGGCTAGCTTGTTCCATACCATTAACTCAGAACAAAACATATTTTTAGTGGGACAGCAGTGTTTACTTGTAAGAACTGATGAATTGCATAGCACCATTTATCACGGGCAGACAAAAGCATCCAGGAGCAATTCTGGACGTAAATCAAGGTGCATGCCCCTAAGTGAAAAAAAAAGGACTCCTTAAGTCCCTAAAACTGTATAGATTGGGGTCAGACTGGCCATAGCAACCAAGAGCGGTCCTCTGGGCTCCAGGAGGACCTAGCAACCAACAAATGAGCTCAGACCTCTTTTCATCTCCATTGGTGTGAAAGACAAAATTAAAAAGATTAGATCACCCTGCACCCATGACAAAGGGCTCCACAATGAAAAAATCATCTCTCCCCTTTGAATCACAGCAAATAAATAACCTTCATCCCTCCTATAATGAACAACTTTCAAAGTAAATCAAATCTCCATAGGGCTGCTGTTCCTTGCTTTTCCTGGATTTGCATGACAATATTGCACAGGAAGAGCAGAAAACGGCTTGTAAATGGGAAACTCAGGATCCAAACGCATCTCGAGCCCTGTTCACTGTCTATTCCAAGTATTCCAAATCACCTTCCCTTTCCACCTCACCGGAACAATGCATTCTATCGTAACCATGCACAAAGCTGTTTTTTCATTACGGGAGATGAAAGTTTGAATGCTGTGGTTTTGAGGATTTTTTTTTTATGTGTGATGGGAGGGAGGGGAGGCTCACCCTGCCAATGGGGGGAGAAGGGATCCTTTTTGTGTGTGTGAAATCTGGAGGATGCAAAATGACTTAACCCCCAGACTCCACACCCCAAGCATTTTTCCCCTTTTGGGGTGACAAAGAATTCTTTTCTTTGTACTGGCTAGGCTAGATTCTTTGTTCTTCCAGCAATTTTTTCAGGCTCCTCGTGTCCAAAATCTTCCTAGGTTGCCTTAGAGGAACATACATTTGCCATTTTTTTTTCATTCATTATCTGGCATTTCCTAGAAAGTATATGTATTCTTCATGGGCATTATAATAATGGGAAGATTTTATGAATTTCATCATGCACTGTGTTCACCTTGGCACTCTCTCTCTTCCTTTTCTAAAACTCACCTGGGCACTCAAAATAAAGAACCTGGCTGTCAAAAAATGCACATCTTCCCCCACCCTGAAATTCTAATTTCATGGAGAATGTTCCAAACCCAAAGGGTTCAAATTAAGAAGGCTTACACCTCTGAGAACAAACAGAATAGCATAATTTCATCCTTCTGCAGCAGCTCACGTAGACAGGACCATTTGAACCCAGCAGGGCTCCTCATTAATTTTTAAAAGTCTCTGACCCCAGTACAGTTAAGAGTGTAAAAATAATTAGAAATTAAGGATGAGAGAACACTGCTTTAATATTCCATAGTGCTGCTAGATGGTGGCTGCCCTGACCGTAGTTGGGTACATGCATTAAACATCCTTAAATAGAACCCCCCTCCCCATTAGAAATTTAAACTGCTTGGTGAATGTCAGGGAAATTGATCATTGCTCCATCCAGCAGAGATCTTGCCTGGATTCCACTCCTACCCTCCGCGATCATAGTAACACAAAGCACTGAGATTACAGGTTTGCAGACACGGAACAGAACGGAAGGAGAGATAGTTGCTTGATAAAATATTGCTATTCAAAGGCACATTTGAGACCACACCATTTCTAACCTGTCAGAAAAGGCTCAGCATATTGAATTAAAGGTACAAAGAGTCTTTCTTACCTAAAACTTGTCAGAATAAAGGTCCTTTTCCATTGTTGTCACCTCCAGTGCCCCCTTCTGCCACCATGGAGACTGGGTCTGCCGTGTTTACGGCTTCCTTGCCTCAGTTACAGCTGTGATAGTGATCTGCCCGGCGTAGAGAGGAGGGATGGGTAGGAAGTAAGACTGTGTGATTGTGTGTGTGTGTGTGTGTGTGTGTGTGTGTGTATGGAGAGAGAGAGAGAGAGAGAGAGAGAGAGAGAGAGAGAAACGGAGGGAGAGAAGGAGGGAGAGAAAAAGAGAGAAGAGAGAGAGAGAGAGAGAGAGAGAGAGAAGAGAGAGAGAAGAGAGAGAAGAGAGAGAAGGAAGAGGAGAGAGAAGAGAAGAGAAGAGGAAGAGAGAGAAGAGAGAGAGAGAAAGAGAGAGAGAGAGAAAGAGAGAAGAGAGAAAGAGAGAGAGAGAAGAGAGAGAGAGAGAGAGAGAGAGAGAGAGAGAGAGAGAGAGAGAGAGAGGAGAGGAAGAAAAGAAAGGAAAAAGAGAGAGGAGAGAGGAAGAGAGAGAGAGGAAGAGAGAGAGGAAGAGAGAGAGAGAAAGAGAGAGAGAGAAAGAAGAGAGAGAAAAGAGAGAGAGAGAGAGAGAGAGAAGAGAGAGAGAGAGAGAGAGAGAGAGAGAGAGATACAGACAGACTGATACTTCTAACTTCCAAGACTGGGAACCTAAAACCTCAGGCCAAGTCAAGGCTGAATGGAAAGGATCAAAGTCCTGTGCTTCATCAAGAGAGTAGACAGCTTTTCCCCCCACTGAAAAGTGGGCCTGTCATTAGGGATTCTTAGTAAGGAACCTCTGACAGAGGCAGACCTTCTCCAGGCTGCTAGTGGCTGCCCAACAGTCCGTGCAGAATGCAGGTACCTATTGTTCCAGAGACAGACATGTAGCCAGCCAGTCAGACTCTGACAGATCTCAGCAAACCAGTGAGCCTGCCTTCATTTTAACTCTTTATTTACTAGTGCTTTCTGGTCCAGCACAAAGGTCTTCTTATAATAACCCATGGGGAAGGAGGGGGAAGTCATCTCATATGTATTTGGTTGCAGAAAAAGAGGTCTACATATGGGTGGACTTTTTGTTTTTATTTTTATAAAGATGGGTTTTTAAACATTGTTTTTGGAAACAATTTTGCTGCAAATATCTCACACTTGCAGGAAGAAATTTTGCTTCTATTACCTCCACTGACAAAATCCAGTTTATAAAATGAGACAGCAATGAACACAATCAAGCAATGATTATTTATCACAGAAAGGTGTATAAAATAGAATCGCCCCAAAATAGTCTCCCAGAGGCCTCTGGGCCTCTGAACCACTGAAAACATGGAAATGCAGAGTTTCTCGGCTAAGGCACTTGATCACATTTTCCCCAGAGATCAACAACCCCACCCCACCTTTTTCTGTCCCATCCAGTCAACTACAGAGGAGAAGAGATTTTTTTTGAGGGGGGAAGTTACTACTGGTCTCTTTGGCTCCAACTTTTTTACTCTGTGATACCGAATACTTCACAGAAAACAATGCAAATAAATATTAACATACACCAGCATCTGTCCTACCTCCCTCTAAACTCCTCTTCTCCCAAAGTCTACATGCCTAAACAGGCAGTCCAGTTAAGGAGGCTCAGAGGAACTCTTGTTCCCTAGGATCCCAATGTATCGAGACAGTTATTTTTTATCATCTTTTTTTTTCTTCTTTAAACTGCAAGTAACTTTTTAGTTTAACTCAAAAATTCTTAATATTCTGTATTCATTCAAGTTACATTGGTCAGCACATTTGGGAGGGGGGAGGCTTTCTACCTTTGTTCAAAGTAGTAAAGAAAAACGGCCAAAAAAAAAAAGAAAGAAAAGGAGAGGCGAGAGGAAAAAAGACAGAAAAAGTGGTGTATGATAAGGGGAAAACTGTTTGGGACTTTGGAAGACTCAAGTTCTGATGAACTGTTTACCATTTCCTGGGCAAATACAGGCTCTATTTTGACTTTGGGTACACAGTGTGTCTGCTACAGGTTGGCTATGAAGTTCCATTGTCAAGCAATTTTTGTACTTATCTGGGGCTCACTTTTCAAAGCTGCAGAGTAAATATGCAACGCATTGAGTAGAGGTTTAACCATGCATGCCAGTTAATAACAATGACACCTGTACTACATAGTTGTGCACCACTGAACAACTTTCTTAAAGTAACTTAGGTTCACTTTATTTGTTCATTAATTCTCTCTCTCTCTCTCTCTCTCTCTCTCTCTCTCTTCTCTCTCTCTCTCTCTCTCTCTCTCTCTCTCTCTGTCTCTCTCTCTCTCTCTGTGAGAGGGGAGAGGTCAAGAGGATGCACAAGTCATTGAACCATGACAATTCCAAATTTAAAAAACCTAGAAAACATTCAACTCCCCCCCACTTTCTCCACCTCCATAACCAACTCTGAAAACACTGCATGTCATATTAATTTCACCTGGATTCCTAGTAATTGACCAGAGGATTTTGAAAATAGACACACAAAAGTATTTAAGGAGTGACTTTTAAAAAAATAGGAGTTAAATGTTTCAAAGTACACTCTGTACTTTTGACTCAGAGCAAACTTCTTTTAAATTCAATAGGTATAGAAACAAATCAACCTGAAAGGGAAATAAGGGGAAAACAGAGAGCATTAATCAGCCCTACCAGGAAGCAATAATACACGGGGAAACTTTTCATTCTTCTCATTCTAAATGCTGTAAACTGTTTCTTCTTTTATTTTTTTCTTGGAGGCTTTAAAGACAAACATCATGGTAAGCTCAAGAAATAATCTCCCTTCTTGGAACATATTTAATAGACAAATATCTTATACCTCATGATAATAGGTGACATTTAGATAATGCTGGACAGTTTACAAAGAGCTTTGCATGCATTATTTCTTTTTTATCTTAAATGGAAAGGGATGAGTCAAAGAAAAAAATAAAAGGAAAATGCCACAAGGAGAGGTTACAAATGCACATAGCGAATGATGCTGGAGTGCATTCCAGGTGGCCAGCTTTTTCTTGCAAGTTCATGTAACTGTCTCTTATATTGTCAGGATAATGGACGGCGAAACTGTAGCAGTTGGCTATGTGGTCAGTGTTGGGCATGACTACTTTTGACTTGAACGCTGGGACAAGATCCCACCCAGGCACAGTTATCTTGAAATAGTCTCCCAACTGTCCCACCATCTTGGACACAACAGCTTAACCTTGGACATACCCCCAAATCAAGCTCCTTGCCTCAAATGAGCTATAGTCAAGCATGCCCTAGCACTGGTGCTGACGTGCCTAACAGCTCTAAAATACCTGGGGTCCATTTTTTCAGGGATGTATGCTCATGAGTCAGGAAAACCTAGGTCTGAATCCCACCTGATACACTTACTACCTGTGTGATGCTAGGTAAGCCAGTTAAGCTCCCTGAGACTTACTTTACTTATCTGTAAATTGGGGGTAGTAATGGCATCTACCATTGTTGTGAGGTTCAATTGAGATAATGTATGTAAAGTTCTTTGCAAGCCCTGAAGAAAGATATAAATATGAACTAATCTTATTATTTTTATTATAGTTTTTAACACTAATAAAAGTGACAGATAACGAAAGAACATGCTCTCTGCCAAAGGCGCATGCACGCGCGCGCTGTGTGTGTGTGTGTACACACGCCTGCATGAGTGTGTTCAGTGAGAGGAGAGGCTAATATTCCTCCCAAGATTTTAGTGATCTCCCTGCCCACATGCTTCTGTTCTCACACTGTCATTTTCCCACCCCCCACCCCTCAACACACAAACAGCTTCAGATTTACAACTCAGACCTTAATAGTTGTTATGCTTCAAGAATATGGATAACAGAGTGAAACAGGAAGCCCAAGGTGTATTTTGTACTTCCTAATTCTGGTTTCAGATAAGGATCCCTTTATTTCAAGAAAAGAGGAAAACACACACACATATACCACTCCCTTTCCCACCCCCCAAAAATGTTTCATGTACTAGATGATTAAGCAGTAGGACAAATAAGAGTTTGGCTCATTCTTTCTCAGCAGCAGCAAAAATCTGTGATTGATTCCCCTCATGTGAGGCTGGGTATCCCTCCCCATTTGAATTTGCATAGCTTGAACTAAAAGATTTAAAATGAGGTGTCCCAAAGGGAAAATGCACAGAAAACAGGGCTGTCCTCTATTACATAATATTCTCATGTTTGGGAATTTTAGCTTAGGATCCTCTGCACCAGCCAGCTAGAATATTAGATCTCAGCTATATATTCACACAGACAGCCACACTCTGGGATCAGAGATCCATTAGTTACCAAGGGTCTGTGTTTTCATATTGTAAATAACTCACTCTTTCAAGTCACATACATATAGATGCATGTATACACACATGTGTGTATGGATGTAATCCTCCTCCTCCTGCCCAATGAAAAATCACCTCGTCTCTCTCTATACTTATTGAGGCCCACAGAATGCCACCTCTGCGCAGAAATCTCAGGCAGCTTGGATTACATATTAAAATTCTAATTAAAAATTTTCTCTTGTGTTATCTCTTCTGTCTGATCAGAGATTAAAAAGTAAACTCGGATCCTGGGTGAGAACACAACAAAGCAACTAAAACATGCAGCTTGTGAATAAGCAAGAAACAGGGTTTGACTACATGGTCCTGAAAAAGGGAAGAGAATACTGAGAAACTACCTATTTTATAGGACCCACTTCAGGCACTAAATCATCAATGTCATGTAAGAGTTATTTCAGTTCACAGAAATGTGCTTTTTGGAAAAAGTGAGTATAGACCTAAAACTTCTTAGGCAGAAGGAATCAACAATCTATTTTCCAATTTCAAAATTTCAGTGAATAATATAAAAATATTTAGCATTTGCAAGCACTTTAAGGCTTGCAAAGTGCTACGTGCATATTATTTTATGTTATCCTCTTGACCCTATAAGATAGGTGTTATTATTATCCTCATGTGACAGATGAGGAAACTGAGGCAGACAGAGGTCAAGTGACTTGCCCAGGGTCACACAGCTAGAAAGTGTCTCTCTACCAGAAGCTGCAAGCCTAAGAAATGTTTGGTCGTAGAACCGAGGCGCTTGGTAAACTGCAACCAACTAGACTATTTTAGTATTTGAAATCTTGGAATGAAGTTGATGGCAAAGCATTGAGTCTCTGTGTCTATGTGCAATACAGATGTAGCCCTGAAAAGCTG